CCGGCGGCACCGAGCCATCTTAGCTCGGCCTGCGAGCACGAGCGCTGCGCGGGGCTGTCCCCGTGAGGAGAGCCCCAGCTAATCACCCCAGCTAATTACTGGCGAAGGGACGCTCGGGGGTTTTCCGGCCGCTTCCGACTTGGCGCGCACCGGCGGCCCGTTCAGTTCGCTCTGAGGGCTGGGCCCAAGGGCCCTGAGGGTCCTGCCACGCGCTGTCCAACAGATACCTGCAACCAGCACAGCAGCGCTTGCTTTCTTTTTTATTTTTTTTTCCCCCTTTTCTATACAGACACCTCAAATCTCCAGCTCCTGCCTTTCCTCCTCGATTTTTATCTTCCCTCCCGCGAAGTTTTCTGCCAGAGTTCAGGGATGAGCAGAAGACGAAAAGGCATCTAATTAGACCTACTTGAAGATACATGCGTGGTTCAAACGCAAACTTTCTTCCACAACCGAACGTCTACGACTGACTTTTTTCCCCCAAAGCAGTACAAAAAAAAAAAAAAAGTAGAAAAAAGAACACACATCTAAAGGAGTGGAATTACTTCCTGTAAAACCCGTCGGCTTCCTTGTTAGTACTTTAACAAAATCTCGTATGTGCTCTTACTTCACAACAGGTGAGCGTGCGAGGCGTTAGCATGCTCGGGGAAGGCACCATCACTGCCCCGCAGCGCACACGGTCCTGCTTCCGCACTGTTTGGCACGTCTCCCATCCAGCACTGAGTCCTCATGGTCTTTCTCGTCTTCCAGTGAAAATGGTTCTGCCCATCAAATCCTGGCATTTATGCCATTACCCATTAAACTGCAGTGCTGTATATTTTATGAGAACAAAATGGTCTTGAGTTGACTTCATACCTCAGATATGAACAGAGCTGTACATATCCCGAGAGACTATTACTGTCTTCCTTTGCTAGCACATCACATGCAAGGGGGAAGGAAAAAAAACACCACAGGCTGCATATACACATTAAATAATCACAGGAAGGAAATTAATACCCAAATCATCAGAGCAAGAAAGAATTTGAACATTATCGCTGTGGGGATTTAGAAATACTTTATATACATGCATGCATAATGCCCTGTAATGCTGACAGCTCCCTGTGTCCCTTCTCCAGCCCAGGAGCGCGCCCGATGCAGAGCGGGGACGATGGCCACCCTTCCTCCAGCACCGCAGCGGGCGCTGGCAGGAAATCCCCAGGGATCGGCCTCTCCCCCAGCCCAAAGGCCAGCGTAACCGTACCGCGTAACTGGATTTATCTTTTCAGCAAAATGTGCTTTGGAGTAAGCAGTCAATGAGTTGAATAATAATTAGAAATTACTGTTTTCCTCTCTTTTGGAGTACTACTATTGCCAATTCTTTCTCTTTTGATGCTGATTGGCAGATACTCTCTCACGGTAAACAAACACCGACTTAACTGCTAATCTCTGTGCCTCAGACAGGACCCTCGTAGTAACCCCAACAATCATTTGCTAGTGGCAGAAAACTTGATTTATCAGGTATTTATTCTGCACAACAGGTTTGGGGTGTTTCCTACTTTTAGATATAGAGATCCCACAGACAGGTTTTGACATCTGAACAGTGACCATCTTTCATCTAACAGTCGGCCTCTCGCAGAGCAAGAGGCAAAAATTGTACATGGATATGGCGCTGGCTCTCACCTATTTAGCATTTTTCTCTCCATAGTGGTACCGCTTTCTATTGTCTACAAATAAAGAATCATCCTCTCTACCTCAAGTTAAGTTGCATAGTCTCAGGGTAGTTGTGAGATTACTCTAGTTGGGTGTCTGCTCTTCCCCAAAGTGCCTAACCACAGCCTGGGCTGTCTGTAGTCAATGGAGATCTGTAGTCGATGGAGAGGAACACACTCCACCAGAGGGT